GGAACTCCCTGTCACAGATTGTCCCAGGGAGGGGACGTGACCCCCAAGAGCTGCCCTAACGGCGGGCAGCAGGGACTCTGTGCCTGTGGGATGTGGCAGCAGGGCTGGGGGACTCGGTGGTTGGTTTGTGGGTGACAGGGAGGCATCAGAGCTGTGCAGGAGAAAAGCCAAACCCTGGGAGCCTTCAGGCCAAGCTCTTGCTCCTCACTGACATCCTGCATTTTCCTTACAAAGCCTCCCTGCAGCCACAGGCACGGGATGGGCAGAGGGAGGAGATGAGACATCAGGACCAAGGGACAGATACTTGAGCACCAGGCTGGGCACACACAGCTGGACCTGGGCTTGGACCAGAAGAGACTGCAATGAAATAATTCTTCTGTGGTCATTGCTGGCCTCTCATTCCATCGTATTTTTCCTGGAAGGACTGTGCTCATGTTCCCAAGGAACAGACAGCTGCTCTCCAGCTGACAACAGCGAGGTGAATCTGTCATCTCTTTATTTCTGAAGGTTTTCATCCAATCACAGAATTCCTGACTTGGAGGGACTCACCATGATCACCCAGCCCAGCCCCTGTCCCTGCCCAGACCCCCAAAATCCCACCCTGGGCATCCCTGGCAGCGCTGGCCAAAGGCTCCTGGAGCTCTGGCAGCCTCGGGGCCGTGCCCATTCCCTGGGCAGCCTGGGCAGTGCCAGCACCTCTGGGGGAAGAACCTTTCCTGCTCTCCAGCCTGAGCTGCCCTGGCCCAGCTCCAGCCGTGCCCTGGCTCCTGTCCCTGTCCCAGATTAGGGATCAGAGGTGCTCCTTGGGAGGAGCTGCAGACCCTGAGCCTCCCCTGCTCCAGGCTGAATAACCCAAATGACCTCACCCCTCCTCAGCTGTTTTTTACACCAGCAGAAATCAAACTTTGCATTGTGAAATTCCTGTAATTTCTCCATTCCTTGTGAGACCCAGAGTGCAGGACACACATTCAAAACCTGTTTAGATTTTCCAGGGCACATTATTTGCAAAACCTCAATTTAAACAACAAACAAGTACAAAAGCTCTCCCCAGGGCAGGGCAGAACAAGACAATCCTACATGGAGTGACTTCACACAGCAAACCCGAAACAGGAGATGCTGACACGGATTTACAACACCCAGTCCATGGGACAACTCGTGGAGCGGGACACAAGGTGGTACCTGAAAAAGAAGAGATTCCCTGGCCTTGGACATCTACTGTAAGTGAATCCAGAGGAATGCAGATCTCCATCCAGACACACCCATGTGGAGGCAGGGGGAAGAGCGCAACCACAGGCCTCTCCCTCTCAGTTCTCTCTCTAAAAGCAAATCAAGTTTGAAACTGCACTCCTACCAAAAAGGAAGGTGAGAAGGGCAGTAACAGAAGTTGAACCACACACCAAACATGAGATGCTCTGTGCTTGCTACAAATGTTTGGAGGACACCTGGGAGCTGAACTTGGAAGGGAGGGTAGAAGTACATGGATCAAAATTACAGCAGAAAGTGGTACCTGCAGCATAAGAACAGTCCAAAATGTGGGAAAACCCCCAAAACTTGACAACAACCAAGCCTGGGCCAACAGTGGTGCTTCAAACACACCCAACCTCCAGAGCAGCCATGACTGCAGCTGCTGTAACACACTGGATTCCTGTTTTTTTTTTCTTTAATATAAAAAAGTAACCAAAGTCATTAATGTCCCCGTCCCAGTCCATAACCAGCCCCTCTGAGCTACTCGGCTGTCCAGAGCTTGAAGGTTCTGTCGTAGGAGCAGGTGGCAATGAGCTGCCCATCCAGGGAGATGTCCAGGCCCATCACCTTCCCCTCGTGCCCCGCCAGTGTCTTCAGCGGGGACCAGCCAGGGTGGGTCCAGATCTTGGCCGTGTTGTCGTAGGCGCCCGTGAGCAGGAAATTCCCGTGGTTGGCTGCACAGGAGGAGAGAAGGGGAGAAGTGAGGCTTGCAAACGAAAACATGGCATCCCTGCTCACCAGCACAGGCCTTGCTGAGCGGCAGGTGTGGGTGTGAGCTGCTGGAGGGGCAGGGATAGGGAGCAGCAGGGACTCACGTTCAAACCTGACACCGGTGACCAGGTTCTGGTGGGCAGGGATGGTGTAGATGCACTTCCTCTGCCGCAGGTCCCACACCTTGCAGGTGTTGTCCCCACTGCCCGTGGCCACGTGGTACCTGCCAAGGAGGGGAGGCAGAGCAGTGTTTACAGAGTGGAGTTTACATTCACAGCTCCCACAGCAGTGCCAGCTCCCTCCTTACCCGTTTGGGGAGAAGTTGATCCCGTAGATCTCCTTCAGGTGCCCTTCCAGGAACATGATGCAGCGGCCCGTGCGCAGGTCCCACACCCGGCCAAAGGCATCCAGGCCTCTGCAAGCACAGGGTCACACTGGGCTGGGCTGGGAGAGACCTTACAGATCATCCTGGCCACGAGCAGGGACACCTCCCACTGTCCCAGGCTGCTCCAGCCCTGTCCAGCCTGGCCTTGGGCACTGCCAGGGATCCAGGGGCAGCCACAGCTGCTCTGGGCACCTGTGCCAGGGCCTGCCCACCCTGCCAGGGAACAATTCCTCCCCAGTATCCCATCCATCCCTGCCCTCTGGCAGTGGGAAGCCAATCCCCCAGCAGAAATCCCTTGTCACAGCAAGGCCTTCATGCAGAGGCAAGGGCAGCTCACCCGGTGCCGGCGAGGGAGCCGTCGGTGTGGAAGGCGATGTCGTAGACCCCCTTGCTGTGCCCCTCCTGGTGCAGGATCTCCTCCTGTGCCTCCAGGTCCCACAGGCGCCACGAGTGATCGTAGCTGCAAGAACACAGCACTCCTTAAATCAGAGTCACAGCACTCCTTAAATCAGAGTCACAGCACTCCTTAAATCAGAGTCACCCAGGTTTGGAAAAGCCCTCCAGGACCATCAAGTCCAAGTGTTAACCCAGCACTACCACATTCCCCACTAACCCATGTGCCCAGATGCCACATCTGGGTGTTTTTTGAACACTTCCAGGATGGTGACTCCACCCCTGGACAGCCTCTTCCAGTGCCTGGCCACCCTTTCTGTGAAGATGTTTTTCCCCAATATCCAACCTAAACCTCTCCTGGTGTAACTTGAGGCTGTTTCTCCTGGTCTCCATTAACTCCAGGGAGAATAACAGCCTATTTCACCAACTCTGGGAGCATTTTATTCCCACCTGAGACCAACAGTGTCTCACACAGGGAAGGGAAAGGAATCCCAGTGGCCTGCTGTCACTGACACTGCAACAGCCCAGCTGTGGTCACCAATGGCCAAGGCCTGCCCTGTGGACAAGCCCTGGCACCACAGGGCCACCAGCTGGGCAGCCCATGGTCATTCCTGGAAGCCAAAGCCCAGGTGTCCGTACCAGGTGGTGCCCAGGAACCTCCCTGAGGGGTGCCACATCACACGGGCCACTCGCATGCTGTGTCCCTCGATGTCTGCCACCGGCTCATCACTGAAACACAGAACAAACATTGGCCACTGGCCACAGGGGTCTGGCTCAAGCCAGGCCTTTGCTCACACGCTGTGATGGCAGCAAAAGCTCTGCTGATGAAATCAAACCCGGCAGGAAGATCAGAGCTGAAGCCAATGATTCTGAATCCTGCCTTTGGGTCACACTCACAAAGCTCTAAGTGAAGCCCTTTCTCCACAACTTCTGTTATTTGTAAAGCTCTCCTGGGATGTTGATGATGATTAATGAAAATTAACAAGGCCCTTCTCATTAACACTTTTGGAAGTACAGAAACAAAGCACAGAGAGTACTGTACTACTGCAAGGAGTTCTGAGAACACAACATCCTGAACTGCAGCAACTCCTGCTGATCTGCAGGATGCAGGCAGACAGGATGGAGGGAATATTTATTCTCCCAGAATGACAGGCAGCAGGTCAGGAGCATTCACACACAATCTGAACAGCACTGGAATTTCTTTCCAACAGGTTAATTAAGAGACATGGTCACAAGAGCCATGTGACCATGAGAACAACAACCCCCCTGTCCCTTTGCACAGGGGCACTTTTGCTGTTAGAGACTGTGACTTTCAGCTAAGGATAAACACCTGTGGCTCTGGGAGCTGCCGGCCCTTCCCAGGAGCCCTGCAGGCTCCACTTCTCAATCAGGTGATGCTGAGGCTCAATACCTGAACCACTCTCCTCTTCCCAGGCCTGAGAGAGGTGCTGCCCATCTGCCAGAGCTCCTCTGTGCAGTGGCAGCCACTTGTTTGAAGTACAGGCAGAACTTATTATGCCTGGTTGTGTATTTGTTCAATCCCTCTCCAAATCCTGGTGCTTTCCAGCCACTCAAAAAATCATTATTAATATCCAAGAGGGGCAATTTTCTCCTAAGTGAGCTGTTAAAATGAAACAGTCCCCAGACCTTCCATCCATCACCCCCAGCAGTTCACCAATGCCCAGCAGCAACTCTGCCTCAATCCCTTTGACAATCTCCCTCACCTTGGCTCCCTAATCAGGGTGATCTCTCTTCCTGCTGAAGAGGGTGGCACATACTGAGGCCAGGGAGTGCACTGGGGTAACTACAAGAAAAGGTCATATTGGCAGGAGGATGGTGAATGTCTGGAGGAACATGGAATGAACCCCAGCTGTGCACATCTGGAACAGTTCTGACCTTTCCAGGTTCCAGAGTTTGACAGAGCCATCAGCTGCACACGAGGCCAGGCTCACATCCTTCTTGTCCAGGGACACCGTGGCCTTGGGGTGGAACACGATTGCCCCCACGTTGGTGCTGTGTCCTGAAAGGCAAGGAAAACAAGATTCAGAATCTGCCACAGTTCTTCAGAACAGCAGCATTTCCTTGGCACTGGTGAGGGAGGTGAACACTTCCACCATGTCCTCAGTGCTGGGTGACACTGCCCTGTCACCCCCAGCCAAACTGCACTTCCAGGAGCACCCAAGACAGAGCACCCAGAATGAAGGTGTGGAACCCTCAAAGTGCAGACAAAATTCAACATATGAATCAAAGGATTTGTCCTCACATCTGTATTTAGCCCAAGCTGTGACCACTACTCAAAGAAACTCACTGTTGTCAAGTGACCTGCCCAAAACTGCTGCTGTTTGTAACTCAAGTAACTCAAACCAGGTTTGGAAACCAAACCAAACTGCTCAGAAACAGAAACAGCAAACTTGGAGCTGAGGTTTGAGCTAAAGACCAGGTCTCCCTTTCTCACTTTATGACACATTCCCATGCTCCCAAGCCAAGGGATGCTCTCAGTATGACAAAAATTTGCCCAAAGACAGCATTTTAAACCACAAAGTAATTCAGATGTGGGAGCTCAGCACAGAGAGGAACAAAAGAACCAAAAGCCCCAGTGAGAGCCCCTCGCTACCTCGTAAGGTGTGAACCAGGTTGCAGTCAGGCACAGACCAGAGCTTGCACAGCCCACTCCTGTGAAAAACAAGGAATGGATGTCACTGGAGAAGAACATCAAGGGACAGATCAATGTTCCTTGTTCAACCAGCTCAGATCAATGAATCTCTGCTCAGCGCTAAATTGAGGTGATAAGAGCTCAGAGCAGCCTCTCAGGATTCCCAAGCCTCCAAAACCATTCCTGTGCTCTCCCAGCCCCCAGAGCAGTGCTGCCAAGGCAGGCTCACCAGCAGGCTGTGGCCAGCAGTTTGGAGTTGGGGCTGAAGTGGCAGTAGGACAGCGGGCGATCATCCCCAATCTGACTGCAGAAGTTATTCAAGGACTGTGAGAAATACAAAGAAAACCATCAATAAATGACTGAAGTACAACCAGCCCAGAGCTATCCCCAGCCAAAGCTTGAGGTGAGGGAAGCAGATGTGCACAGGAGGCAGAGGCCCTTGGAAAGTCACCTTCAAAGGGAGATGCTGCCTCAGAGCCACTCCAGCTCCAGGCAGGAGGGCCAGGGCCAGCCTGGCCCAGAGGGCCCAGCATGGTCTGGGGGCACAGCTCAGCCCCCCAGGGCCACCCATGGTACGTGTCCCCCCCAGCCCCAGGCTTCTGCAGCTGCAGCTCTGACAGAACCAGCTGGAGTTTGGCATCTGTCCACAACTCAGCCAAAGAATCCAACCAGACAGACGGGGCAGAGGGGAGAAGTAAATCCTCTGGAGTAAACAGGATTAGGGGGGCAGCACACACTGTGTCTGAGCCTCTCTGTTTGGTTAAGCTGGGAATCTGGCTTAGCATGCTCAGAAAAGGCATCTCAGAGTCATCTCAACCATGTTCAGCACCCAGAGCTTTTCCCTTGCATTCCCTGGCTCCCCAGCCAGAGCCAGGAATATATTCCTTTAGCCTCACAGGTGAGTGGCAAGGTGAGACAGGGATGTCTCTGCACGCTCTGCCACGCACAGTGACAAATTACATCTCCCTGGAGCACTCTGAAGGAGTCAGAGACACAGGGAAGGAGAGGAAAAGCAGAACTTCCCAAGACTGCAGAGACTGCTGTGCATGTGGACAGCCCCTCAGGCAGCTGAATTCCTGCTGGGCTCTTTGGGGGATCAGCCAAACCTTGTGAGCACAGCAGTGGAGCAGCTGCCAAACCTACCCGCAGGGATTTGTGCAGCTCCTGCCTCTGGGATGTCCTGGTGGCCTCAGGAACCTCCTTGAGCAGCCGGGCCTCCTCCAGCCGCTTCGCTGCCCTGGGGAGAGCAGAGGTGGGGTGACAACCCCCAGAACTGCCCCTTCCCTGCTGCTGGAAGTGCCTTTTCCCTGCTCTTCTCTGGATCAGTCCCTGAGAGCTCAAGCTCTGGGCTCACTGGGCCTCCCTCCCTACTCCCTGGATTTCCCGTGCTGCCCACAGTGGGATTTGCACTTGGATTTGACAAATGTTTTCTGTTTTCTCTCACCTGGGGAGTGAGTAGTTGGCCAGCCACAGCCTGGCTGTTTTCAGACTGCGAGGGCCCTCGTGGTACCACGTTTGCTGATACTGTAAAAACAGGAATAAAAGGAATGGAAAAGCCCTGGTGCTGCTGCCCCTGCATTCATTCCCCTCAGCTCCTCCCAGCACCTGCCCCCAAACCCTGCTGTGCTCTGGCCTCTTTTTAAGGGCCTTCTACACAACTGAGCCCCAGGAAAAGGGATTTGGAGAGATAAATCAAACTCTCTGCCCTACAGATCCAATCCTGCCATGCTGCCACTTCTCTCAATGTTCCAGCTGAACCCTGACCCATCTGCATTTACAGACATGTAACTCCCTCCTTGTTTACACATCACGCACTAAAGAGAAAGCCCAGAGCTGCAGAAATTATTTCTTACAGTAAAGCTCAAAAATAATAAGGTAAAAGAAACTCAGGAGAGAGACACAAGCAGAAAGAGCAATCAAAGGCAGAATCAGATGCAGCAGAAGGAACATTTTTTTTTCTTCCCAAGTGTGAAGGAAAGTAAGGGACATGCTACAGTAGGTAAGAGCCCACACTCTCTCAGCCCACTCACAGCCCACCGCTCTCCTGGTTTGCACAGTGAGTGCAGCACAGAGCTGAGTCTGAGTAAAAACCACACTTGGTGCTTCTCACTGAGACCAAACATTGCCATGGATTTGGTGAAATGGGCAACATGGAAAAAGCCTGAAGGGATACCATGAGAATTCCCAGGCTGGCCAAAGCCAGGAGTGCAGGATATATCAGAGATGGATATAACATCCCTCCCTTCTGTCAGGGGACAGGAGACACCCTTACCTCTTCTTTGGACTTTTTGGACCTGTCATCATCTTTCCGGGTCTTTTTTAACGCGTCTGTGCCGACCACCGAGAGGATGTTCCTTAACCTGGAAGGAGTCATGAAGCTGGATTTAGCCAGTGGATTCTCAGCTCACCTGACAAACATCACTGTGACATTCCCTCTGCCTTAGGGTTCTTACAAGAGAAATCCCAGACTGGTTTGGGCTGGGAGGGACCTTAAAGCTCATCCAGTGCCATGGCAGGGACACCTCCCACTGTCCCAGGCTGCTCTCAGCCCCATCCAACCTGGCCTTGGGCACTGCCAGGGATCCAGGGGCAGCCACAGCTGCTCTGGGCACCCTGTGCCAGGGCCTTACACCCTGCCAGGGAACAATTCCCAATTCCCAACATCCCATCCATCCCTGCCCTCTGGCAGTGGGAGCCATTCCCTGTGTCCTGTCCCTCCATCCCTTGTCCCCAATCCCTCTCCAGCTCTCCTGGAGCCCCTTGATGCCCTGGCAGGCTCTGGAGCCTTCCCTTCCCCAGCCTGAACACCCCCAGCTCTGCCAGCTGCCCTGTGGCACAGCAGTAGCACGGGATTTGCAGGGTGGCCATCCCTGCAGACACATCACCTCTCCCTGCGCTCCGCGGGACCCTCTCCGAAGAGCGTGATGGGCTCGCCCAGGGCCCGCAGGCAGGCCTTGACCTCGCAGTCGTCCGTGGACACGTTGATCTGCCGGGCGCGCTTGCGGCGCTCGAACTCCGCCAGCACCTCGGCCTGCCGCTCGCTCATGTGGTCCTCCAGGTCAAACACCTCCCCTGGCACACACACACAGCCTGAGCACACGCAGCAGCACGGCCAGGGCCAGCCGGGGAGCTCTGCACATCACCCACAGCGGGGCCACCCGCAGCAGGTGACACAGCAGGGTGTGACATGTCCCCAGAGAAGGACGCTGCACCCCTCCCTCAGCCCCTGGAGAGATCCAAGCACGGAGCCTCCCACCCTGACTGCTGTGAGGCGATGCCCAGAGAGCCAGCAGAGGCATTTCAAGTGCCACATCTGCGGGCAGGGATGACGAGGGGTGTCTGCAGAGCCTCACCGCTGCTGATGTTGATGTTGCCAGCCTCCATGGCAGCCTTCATGGCCTCCTTGGCCAGCAGCCCCGCCTCACCCTTGGCCAGGCGCTCCCGCTCCTTCTCCTCCAGGCTCCCGTAGAAGATGGGCGCCCGCTTGGCCGGGGCAGCCTCGGCCTCCTCGGCGGGCTTGGCCTTGGGGGGCTGCAGGGAGAGCCAGAGGAGCAGGGGTTGGGACAGGGGGCAGCTAACAGCCCGGCTGTGCCAGAGCCGGCTGTGCCAGGAGAACGGGCACCGTGCACACATACAGCCTCTCGGTGCCACGCCGGCTGGGGATGGAGGCAACTGAAGCCCATCCATCCCACCCTGCCGTGCCAGGGACACCTTCACGGCCCCAGGCTGCTCCAGCCCCGTCCAGCCTGGCCTGGGCACCGCCAGGGCCGGAGCAGCCGCCGGACTTTGAGGTTTTTGCCCGAAGGCCGAAGCACAAGAGCAAAATGCCGCGTTGAAATGCTGCCATCAGGCAGCGTTGGGTGCCTCTTATTTATTATCTGCAGAGGTATGTTTTAAAAAGCTTTGGAACACGGAGCTGTTCGTCCTCCTGCACCGGCACAGCCCGGAGCGGTGCCGCGCCCCAGCCCAAAGCGAGCGGCTCCTCAGGGGAGGCGCCAGGACCGGGTGAGAACGCAGAGCACCGAGCCCTGGGCTCCCCTGAACGGCTCCGGTGTCACCGGAGCACCGCAAATCCCACACAGCAGCAGCAGGCGCGACCGCCGACGCCGCGGCCGCGCGGGGAACAGGCCCGGGGCCGCCCCCATCTCCGCACACTCACCTCGGGGGGCCGGGCCGCACCGCGCGCCGCCGGAGCCCGCGCGGCGGCCATGGCGGGAGCGGGAACAAGCCCAGGAACGGAAAAGAGCCCGGAAGGGGAGCGGGAACCAGAGAAGGGAACGGGGAGAGACCCGCCGCGCCGGGCTCCAACGCCTCACGGCCACTTCCGGGCCGCGCGGGGCACGCCGGGAGGCGCGGTGCCCGCTGAGGGCGGGCCGCGCGGGGCACGCCGGGAGATGAAGTGCCCGCTGAGGGCGGGCCGCGCGGGGCACGCCGGGAGATGAGGTGCCCGCTGAGGGCGGGCCGCGCGGGGCACGCCGGGAGGTGTAGTGTCCGCTGAGGGCGGGCCGCGCGGGGCACGCCGGGAGGCGCGGCGCCCGCTGAGGGCGGGCCGCGCGGGGCACGCCGGGAGGCGCGGTGCCCGCTGAGGGCGGGCCGCACGGGGCACGCCGGGAGATGAGGTGCCCGCTGAGGGCGGGCCGCGCGGGGCACGCCGGGAGCTGTGGCGGGCGGCCCGCTGAGGGCGGAGCGCTCGGTGCCGCCGCGGGTGGCGGCGCCTCTGGCCGCGATGCTCCGTCGGAAGCCGACGCGGCTGGAGCTGAAGCTGGACGACATCGAGGAGTTCGAGAGCGTGCGGAAGGAGCTGGAGGTGCGCGCGGGGCCGGGCGCGGGGGGCTGGGCCCGCCCCCGGCCCTGACCGGCCGTTCGCCCGCAGAGCCGCAGGAAGCAGCGGGACGAGGCGGAGGCGGCGGCGGGCGGCGAGGAGGCGGCGGCGATCGGAGCGCTGGGCACGGAGCACAAGAGCCGCGAGCAGCTCATCAACGAGCGCATCGGGTACAAGCCGCAGCCCAAGGCCGGCGGCCGCGCCGCGCACTTCGGCACCTTCGAGTTCTGACGGGGCAGCCCCGGCCCCGCTGGGCCGCGCCGCCCCCCTCTGAGCTGTTGCATTTTCGCATTTTAAGTTTGGTTAACATGGCCGTGATCGCTCCCTTGCCGAGTGTTTTGTTTTAAATAAACACGTATTTTTTTAAAGAAACGAATAATCATCCCACGAGCTGCTGTAAAGGGCTGCAGTGCCCAGGTGGGGTGGAACAGCTCGAGCACCCCGTTCCCTGCTCCTGTGGGCACGAGGATGAAACTCTGCGGGAGGATCCTCCGGGAAAGTGATCTGCTGATCTAAACCAGACAATGGAGTGTGGCCACCTCAGCCTCCAGCCCTGCCCGCTGGTGGCCCACTGAGGAGAAGGTCCTGGAGGTGTCTGATGAGTGTTTTGGGATAAAGGTGCCACAGTTGTGGGTGCCAGGCACTGCTCTGTCCATTCTCGAGGGAACCAGGAAAGAATTCCCGGTCTGTTCAATCAGCTGGTCCCAAATGCATCCCAGAGCTGCTTCCCCATCCATGTCACAGCTGGGCCCTCAGCAGGGAGTGGCTGCAGACCTGCCGTGGGCTGGGCACATGGATGTGGGATGATAGCCCAGATTTTCTGTTTGAGCAGCTTTTCCTTTGCACCTCCCTGTTCCACCTCCATCCAGCTCTGCTTGGTGCCACCCCAGCTGCCCTTGGAATGGAGCTCAGAGCTGTTTGCTGCTTGGATCAAAGGCCACCAAACAGTTCCTTATGGCTGGTGGTGTTCTGTGAAAAGGCCAAGGGCACATGGATTTCCTCAGCAGGGGCCTGGGCAGGGTGAGGTCAGATCTGATTTAGTCAGAGGAAGGTGTCAGACTCAGGAGGAGTCTGACAGTGGAGGACACTTGACAGGAGTCACACAGTGGGATGAGCTGAAGGAAGCAACATAAAAACCTGAGCAGCTCCTTGGTGCTCAGGAAACTGCTCCCTGCAGCCTGGGGAAGGAGCAGGGCAGGCTGCCACAGCAGGGAATGCAGGAGCTGGAGGCTCTCCCTGCCTCTGCCCAGGGCTGTGTCCTGCCATCTTCAGCAAAATGACCAGGTCTGGTTTTTCAGCATTCCTCCAAAGTGGACTCCAGTTAAATTCACGCTTCCCGTGTTGTAGGTGCATCAAATTTCAGGTCAGGCTGGGAAAATGTACAGAACTTCAAACTTTTCCAACTGGGAAGAGCCCCAGAGCAGCCTAGAAAAGAGCTGCTTTTCCTGTCTAACACCACAAACAATGATCAGGGCTTGCTCTGCTGTGCTGGCGTTCCCAAGAGGCCCCAGCTGTGAGAGGACAACACCTCAGGAGGTTCTTACATCTCCCTGAAACTCTTCTCCAGGGCAGGCAGATCTGGGAGGCACCAGTTTCTCTTTCCATCCCTCCCCACACCTGCAAAGTGTGACTGAGCTGGAACAAAGACTTCTCAGTGAACCCCATTCCAGCAGCTTCAGGACAAGTTCCTGGGAGCTGGGGAGGCTCAGAGGATGCTGCTCCTCACCCCCCACAGCACCTGAACAGGAGCACTGGGCCCTGTGCTCCCTCCGAGGGCTGCCCTGAGACCGTTCCCAAAACACACCCCCAGCACAGTAAAATGCCATCTATTTTATTGGTTAATTATGTACAGGAGATTCTTGATATTCACAGTAACATCAGACAAGTTACCACCACAAAAAGCAAGAGTAAAAACAGAACTGACAGTCCACTGTAAACAAAACTAGAAATCCTGCTGGATTGGTGGGACTGGCTCCAGACAAACTCAAAAGGCACTCAAAGAAAAGCAACAAAAGCCCTCGGAGGGACAGGGCCTGGATGCTCCGAGCTCCCTCGTGGATGAGAATGTGGAGGCTCAGCGTGTGCAGAGCAAACGGGACACAGAGCCAGGCACAGGATGTCACCCCGAGCAGGGCAGCACAGCCCAGCATGCTGCATGTCTGTCCATGTCTGTCCACACCGGCCCTGCGAGCCCTCCCCCACCGTGCGACCCGGACACCTCTAAATTCAGCAGCGGGGCTGGGGCTGCCCAGAGCTGCCGATCCCGCCCGCAGGGAGCTCAGGCTTTGCTCCGGCTCTGCACGCACAGCCCGGCTGGGAGCACACCGTGCTGGCATCTGGTGGCAGCGGGACGCTGCGACAGGGACGGTCGATGGCTGCTCTGGACTGTCACACTGAACTGGGGACAATCTGAACTGCACAGCCGCGGCAGGAGGAGCAGCCTGGACACGCCTCGTCCCCAGCGGTGCCCCAGGAGCTCGGAGCACAGGGGACACGGCCTCGCCCTGCTCCTCTCAGCCACTTCCCCTCTCACCTTCCCTGGGAGCCCAGGGTGCCCTCACCACCCCTCGTGCAGGCTGTGGGAGCTGCTGGGGCACCTGAGACTCGTGCCCAGGTGAGCCCTGCCAGGGCAGTGTCCCCTCCCTGTGCACGCTGGAGAAGCTGTGTGCCCTCTCTGAGCAGAAGGGAAGCTCATTCTGGGGGGAAACAATTCCAGGGGCACAAGTGGTACAAGCAGAACGAGACAGAAAAGCTTAACAAGAACCAGAGTGACACTGCATGAGCCACAGCCTGATCTCCAAGTCATCCCCAGAGAATTCAAGTCTGGCCACTTGGATACACAGAAAAGTGGCTAAAAGGTGACAGCAAGATCAGGCCAAGCAGCTTCTGTTCCAAAGAAAGACACAGCAAGAGGTATATGAGGTGACCAGTGTCACCACAGAGCCGCTCCTCACTCCAGCCTGTGATTGTGATGGCAACAATTCCACCCCCTTCCAGAAAAACCAATGGCAGCAGTGGCAGTGTCACCCTGAGCTCCTGCAGGGGTCAAGCCCTGCAGTGCCAACCTCCCACATCAACACCATCTCCAGCTTTTAACAGCTCTAGTTCTCTCTGACAGACAGATTTCCTCTCAGTTCCAGCAGGAGTGGGAAGGGATTGTCCATTTTCTCTGCCCACACTAACATCCTCCCAGCTCTCCAGGGGTGGGGAGGGTCAGCTGTCCCCTCCCATGATTGCCTGCAGGCACAGCAGAGTTTTACCTTTGTGACAGGTGCAGAAAGGGCACCAGCAGGTTCTGTCACAGACAGAACTCCCTTCAAAGATCAGACTGGGGAAGGAAGGAAGCACTTTTCCTGTCTCTCAGCAGGACATGGCTAGAACTTTTCCATGAAAATAACTTTGCCTCTCTCATCCAGATATGAATTTGCTACAGAAAGCAGCTATATAGGAACCTAAGCCTGTGTTTAACTCAGCTCCTTTTATTCTCTAGTTGCACTGCCCAGAGAAAACGAGATGTCCAAGTAAACACCTGGCATCAGCCCAGGAGGTGCAATTCAAGCCCTGGTAGCAGCAGTTCTGAATTTCCTTACACAGGGTGGGAGAGTGGGCTCTGTGCAGGGACAGCAGCACCAGCACCGTGGAGCACCCAGGTACACAGGGATGGCTTCACTCCCTAAGGCTCAGGGCCTAAAAAATCTCATTCCAAAGATCAGCTTTCCTCACACAGCTGCTGCCAGAAGTTACCAGCAGTATATTCAGGGGAAAAAAAACACCTTCCTGTGTGTGCCCAGAGGCTTTAGCCCGGGCAGGATTCCCTGTTGTCATGGCATGTCCCAGCCACCAGTCCCAGTCTGGAAGTGGTGCCTGTTCTCAGTGCCTTTCCCAAATTCCCACTGTCTTCTCTTCCAGCCAGTTACAGGCACAAACTGGGCAATGTGGATAGAGGGAAGACTCCAGCTTTGCACAACCACCTCCAGCTCTGCACAACCTTTTTAACATCCAGGTGCTAAAACAGAGCTGCTCCCCAAGCCTGGCCTGGCACCAGACAGGCAGGAGGGCGGTTCTGCCCCCTCACAGCCTGTCCTGCCTGGGCACTGGGCAGAGCTCACAGCAGAGTTCTTCACTGTCCCCACTGCACTGAGAACCTGCACCTCCAGCATGGGCACACTGTGATTATCAAGACAAAGAGGAGTCATCTGGGTCAGGAATACTTTCTGATTAGCCCACGCTGCTCCAAATTTCACCTGAGAAGACAACGAAGGCCGCCGGAACCCTCCCCCCCCCCCTCCCCAAATCTCTCCTTTACAGGAACATGGTTGTTTCCCCCCTTCATCTCCAGTCAGGAATACCCTCCAGCCATTTTAACTTTAGTGTCATGAAATCATTATTTAGCTCTTGCCTCATTTACAGAGCCACTTCTAGTAACCCAAAGCTTAGCTCTAGTTCCATCCAGGTGCAGCTCCACATGAAGTACCTGTGGATTCAATGGTTTATTTGGAATCTTTTTGCCCTGTAAATACAGAACTATTATCTGTTCCATAATTGGGAAGGGAAAGCAGCCTAACTCAAGTGCTCTCCCTGGAGGCTGAGTAAAGCTGCTGGATACATCAGACAAACAACACTCATAATTCTCTGGTGGGCTTGGAGGGCAGGTTCATCCAATCCCTGAAGCACACAGCTCACATCCTTGCGTCAAAGTCTTCCCTTGCCAAACGCACCTGAGTGTGTCTGATGTGCAGCACCAAATCTTCCTCAGAGGCTGAGTCCTACAGCAAAAGGTGTCATTGGCCCCAAAAGCCACAATGCCAGGGCAATCTCCTCCCCTGGCATTATGTACACATTGAAAAAAAAATCAAAATTAAAACAGCCATTCACACATAATTGGCAACTGATCTTTTCCTACTGTTCATTAAACCCTCACTGATGAGCATTTACAATTTAAAAATAAAACGGTTTTGTTTTCTTTTTAAAATAATTTCTACAGTTCTGTCAGCCAACTAATCTCAATCACAGCATAATCTAAGAATAAAGCAAATCCTGGCCAAGAATGGCTGCCATGGACTCTCAGGAGTCAAGGGGAGCAGCGTGTCCCAGCTCCTCACACCCCTCACCCCTCCAGGAACCTGTAGTGAACTTCAGTTGATTTTCTTTATCATGATTCTCTTGGCAGCTTAGGAATGCTCCAGTCCTCAGGTGGCTGTGCTGGCAGGGAGCAGGGGGGTGGAGAGGCCTGTGGCACATCCAGTGCTAATGGCAGTGCTCTGTGATGTCCACCACCACTGCCTTTTTCCAGCTGAAGAAGAAGTACCCGGTGCCCGCTCCCGCAGCCACGGCGATGCACAGGTACCCGTTGTAGGTCATGAAGATCAGCATGAGGAAGTAGCTGACCACCACCTGGATGATGTGCAGCACAGTCTGCAGCAGGTGGGGCAAGCTCAGCATCTGCTGGCTGGGAACACAAACCCAAACAAGTCAGCAAATGGAACAGGTGGGAAATGCACATCCCCAAAGAGAAAGCTGCCAGGACAGCAAGGTGGGCATGGGATGGCACAGAAGGTGACACCAGCCTGGGCAGGGACTCCCGTGTGTGCTGGCACCTGGAGCTGTGGTTTTGTCACACAGCAAAAAAAGTATGGAGCTTGCTGGGAGGACACAACTTTTAGCTGAGAAACAGATCTTGCCAAGCTTCTTTTACCTGCCCATTCAAAAGCTGACTGGCTTCTGTTCTGCACAGAAGCCTTAACTACCTGTCAACAAAAGGATCCTGAGTGTATTCCCTTGGGATCATTGCATGTAACATCCAAACTCTGTTCCTCAGAACTCCCCCGAATGTGTTCATTACAAAAACCCCAAGCCCATCTGGCTCCTTGCTGCTTTCCTCCTTTTTCCCCCATCCTTGAGGATGCCCAGGTGTCTCCCATCCTCCACTGCCATGCAGCATGCCAGTCTGGAGCCAGGACACTCCCCAGAGATCAAAACTGGCTGCACAAAGTTTCTTCTGTGCCAGTTCCACCTGCAGAGCTCTGCTTTAGAATGAAGTGCAATGCTTACCCCACGGTTTTGTGTGTCTCCATCAGGATGGTGCCATTGGGGCCGGGCACTGGCATGGAGTTATAGCGGATGCTGACTTGGGATTTACGGAGCAGACACTCCCGGGCAATCTTAAGGCCTTCATAAAACATGGCCAGGAAGAAGACAGCCACAAAAGCACCAGCCATTTCTGACAAGAGAGGAAACATTATTATCTCTGGGCAAGAGAATGTGTCAGCAGAGTCACTGTGTGGTTGAACCCCACTGTGCTGCACAGGCCACGGCCAGACTCCATGTGCATGCACAGATAGGTGGGAAATGGGAATTTTCCAGACTCTCACTGCAATTTCACTCATAAAGCAAAAACAGCAAGCACTTTTGCTAATAAAACCAAATTCTTGAGCTCTACTAATATCTCTATTTTTCTTTCACCTCACAGATACCATTTAAACCAGACTCAACACAGCACATCCACAGATTTTTAGCACAAGTAACAAAGTAATTCCTGAAATATGGATCTTGAAACCGAACTGCAAGCCTTTTGTTTGGACAGCACAAGACTGTGTTACTAACCTCCAGGAGAATTGATTGTAAGTCCAGAGAACAGCAATGGCACATTCTTACAGCTGAAGTGGAAAGTCATGGCCTGCCCAAAACACAAAGAACACCAAGATGAGCCTGAAGAGCTCATCCCAAGGAGCTCAAGCAAGGTGCAGCAATGGGTTTGTATCAGAACAAGAACTCGGATCCGTTTGTTTGGTCACCACCTCAACACCAAGAAACTCTCCAGTAGATCTGGTGTAACACACACAGTGAGACAGGGATGAGATGCTCCAGGCTCCAGTTCCCAGCTCCTTCAGGCAGCCCTGGACAGGAGGCCCTGTCCTTCACAGAACTCCAGGAAAGTGCCTTCTCCTTGCCTTTGGAGCTCCTTTTTCCTCAGCATCAGCAGTTGTCAGGGATTGGGGATGTCTCCATGGAGCTCCTCCTTGGCTCCCTATCCCCTCAGGAGCTGGGCTACAGGGCACTTTCCCTTCCCCACTTGAACCTCGTTTGCATGATACAGGTAAGGGTTGCACAGGTGAGTCTTCTGGTCCCCTCCTGCACTGTGCCAGCAGTGTTGGCTCCCTATGGAATTCCCAATGTCCTGTGGGAAACAGAGGCCTAAACACAGCTACACAAGGGGGTAAAGCCAGTTCACAGCTTCCCCTGGGTGAAAATAAGGGCTCCTGAGCCTGCACAGTGAATGCTGTGGGAAGGGGAAACAGCAAAGATCCCCAGGCCAGCTAGAGGTGATCCAAACTTCCCATCTAGGTAAATACAGCTTGGCATGTCTTGGGCACAGCTGCACACAGGGTTTTCACATGGGAAGTCCTGACCAAGCAAGAGGAACTTCTCTTTGAACTTCCCTCATTGCTTAATTAAGATTATTTGCTGAAGCTCAGAATTATGATTCATTTCAGCATCTATAACAATCAGCTCATTTTCCCCTGAGCAGAATTTACTGTAAAACACATTTTATAGAGTACTTTAATCTCTTCAATGACTTGAACATATTTACATTTAAAACAAAACCCACATAAATCAAAGAACTTCAGCTGAACCTAAGCCTGTTACTTGGTACCAGTGAGGAATGGGAAAACACACATTAAATGTGCTCAGTCTGTTATCTAAGATGCTGCACCTATGTACTGCCTTCCCTGAAAGATTTATTTGCAATATGAATTTAAAATCTGGTGCAATTACTCACAGTTTTCAGCTGCAGGGCAAGGCAGGGTCCTGTAACTATCTAGTGAACACTTGACATTTGTAAAGAAATTACATTTCCATGGAAAGTAATGGCCCAGGGATGCCAAGACTGAGCTGAGATGATGGGAAGAGCTTCACAAGGAGAACAGTGGCAGTGCTGGACTGAGAGCTCCATGTGGGCCATGCCCATCAAGGTTATTCCTGTGCTCTCCTCTCCTACTGTGACACTGGTTACAATAGAAATAGAAGCAGAGATTCTTGGTTCTCTCTTCAGGCACAGAGCTGGCAAACAAACTCCAATGATGGTTTGCAAAATCCACTCCTGAGAACACTCATATGAAATAGAAATGTGCCCTCTCTCCCCTCCTCTTGAAATGTCATTGTAAACTGACATGTTTTAATAATCTGAAACTCACTCCTAAAGCATTTAGGAAAAGGAGTAAAAGCTGAAAAAGTTCCTAGAACTGGCTACACACAAACACTGATACTCCGGCCATCTCCATGGAAACTCTGGCCAGGAGCTTTCAAAGCCTCAGTGATGCCAGAATGCACAAGCCTGAACCTGCCGGAATCAAAGTCAGCTGGAGCAGCAGGAATCAGGACCAATGCAGCCTTAATGCCAACGTGGCAAAGAGCCCTGGCACTGCTGTGCTCCCCAACCAAGTGTGCTCTGAGGGTTCAGGAGGGAAGGGCACAGAGGGAGCTCGGCACAGCCCCTCACACTGCTGGGAATCCTCTCAGGGCTGCCTGCGGCTCTCCCTGCCAGCCTGGAGAACTCCATCCATCCATTTCCTGCAGGAAAACTCTTGCTTTGCATTTCTGCCCTTAGCTGCCTGCAGAGCAGACACCAGACTGGCTGCTGGAAAGGTTTTCTCAAGAAAAAAAAAAATTTTGCTAAAGGATCTCCACCTGTGAAATCCATTCCTGCTCTGTATCCCTTATGCCACTCCTTCACTCCAAAAGACCCACAATGGGATTTGGGTTTAACCTGGATGAATTCCTGCCTTCCAAAGCTCAGCTTCACTTCCAGCTCTCCGGAGCACAGTCTATAAGATGACAGGTTACTCTGAACCACAGACAAGGAAAAACTCTCTGGTTAATTCTGACTTCTCCACTTACCATCATCATCATGTCATGGCTGTGTCCCGAGGCTGTGGTGGAGGGGTGCTGATGCTCAGGAGGATGCGAGGTTGGCAACATGGAGCTGTTCATGTGGTGAGACATCTTGAGGACAGAGAGATTCAGAAAGGCACATAGAAAAGTGGGACCCTGAAAAACAAACAAACAATGAAGCCCTTTTCTAAACAGAATGTGGTTTCTCTACTGTTGCTGCATGAGAAAATATTCCAAGCCACTGAGAACTGTTGCCTCTGGAAAACTCCTGGAGCTTCCTCATGGTCCTGCTCTGGCTACAGAGAGCACACAGCAGGACACTTTAGAGGAGGTGTGTCCCTCTGCAGCCCAATTTGATTGAGATGGCACCTGGGGCAAGTGCTCAGCATAGAGGAACATTTCTTATCTACATGAGGGAAAAAACAGAGCCCCTTCCCAAGTGCAATCTTGCAAGAGGCAAAAATGTCACAAGCACTACTTTAAATTGCATATACTAAAGGATGAGATTATAGGATTTCTCTTAATTGACACTTATGCATTTTATTGGGAACATGTTTAACACAGAAATTGTGTTAGTTGGTACAAGACCTACTGCCAGGCAAAGGTCTGCAACAGCTACAGGCAATCCAATTTAATTTCCATGAGCTTTACATTGCCACATCTCTCCTGTAATCACATTACCCACAGTGAGAGAAACACTCAAGAGACTGCCAGTCCCAATCCTTAATCTGATTACCACAAATCAGGGATGTCTGGATACACTAAAAAAAAAACCAAAAATACCCTCTATGGTCACCTGTGGGCATGGCTGCTGCACTCTGGCCCAGCATTGCCTGGGCTGGCAATTGTTGGTGGGAAATGAAAATCATCAGGTTGAAACAGCAACAGGAGAGAAAATACCCTGGGAACACCAGTCAGTCCCGAAAGCACAGCATCTGTCCTGCTGGACCCTGCCTGGAATCCTCTGTACCCTCCCACTCCAGTCCTGCACTGAAGTAAAACCAAGGGAAATAAAAAGCAAAGTTTGGACACTTTATCAAATTAAAGTTTAAAAATAAATGAGACAGACTTCCTTCCACATAAATCGTCAGGAAAATTTACAAATGTGGGTTTTTTTAAAATTTTTTAAGCCAAAAGGCAGCATGGTGTTTGAACAGGTAGGCATGGCTATATTTAGATTGAAGAGAGGAAATGAGACTCTAGAAGAGCTTTCTGAACTGGAAGTAGCAAATAAAGCCCTGAAAGGCAGCTGGTGGTGCAGCTGGCTCAGCATGTGACAGTGACCCTGTGCAGGGGTCACTGGTGGCCCAGAACACCAGTGCAGCCCTGTGGAGCATCCATGGCAGGGGATATCCAAGGGCTTCAGGGTTAAATTAAAGTGAGCAATGAAAGAAACTGAAGATCTGGGGAAGGTAAGGAAACTAAGTCAGCAGTGCTGGGGAGGAACTCAAGAGAAAGACAGAGGTAATACCCTGCAAACAGAGAAATTAAATAATGCAGGGAACCACCAAGAAGTGACACCAGGTACCCGCAGCTAAGGTATGTTCTCCATCTCTGTGCAGAAAAAGTTTGTAGCCCCTCTCTTATGTCATCAGACAACCTCACAATACTCCCCTGGAAGGTAACTTGGAATCATGGAATCCAATGGCATTGGCTAAAGCAGAATGAATTCCTTGTTTCCATATTAGTCCATATTTCTGCTAATATTTTTTAGCTCACTTTGTCCCTGATTTTTGCTTAAATATTGAGACCAGAAAATGTTCACAGAGATAAAAAGGAGAGGGAACAATGCAAGCAGTAGCTCAGCTGACACAGAAAAACTTCACCAAGAGATACATGCAGAATGCCCAGTGTGATTTCCGTATGCCACAGCTTGGAAGATTATCCTGTTCAAGAGCTGAAATATTCAGGCTCTAGAACTGCAGTCCCAAAACACTTGGAAAAAGAATCCTCTGCCAAAACACACAAACTTCAAATTGTCTTTTGCATCAGGGAAGGAAGAAGAAGTCCAAGTGCTTCACCAGCAGGATCAAAGGTAAACGTGCTGAGAGAGGAAAGACGTAACACAAGAACTTCCCCTCTCCTGCAGCCAAAATCTCCTGGAATCACAGAACCATGGAACATCCTCAGCTGGGAGGGGCCCACCAGGATCACCCAGCCCAGCCCCTGTCCCTGCCCAGACCCCCCAAAATCCCACCCTGGGCATCCCTGGCAGCGCTGGCCAAAGGCTCCTGGAGCTCTGGCAGCCTCGGGGCCGTGCCCATTCCCTGGGCAGCCTGGGCAGTGCCAGCACCTCTGGGGGAAGAACCTTTCCTGCTCTCCAGCCTAATGCCCCCGTGACAGAGCTCCAGCTGTTCCCTGGCTCCTGTCCCTGTCACAGAGAGTAGAGTTTAGAGCTGTCCCCATCTCCTCCCTCTTCTCTCAGCTGACTGATCCATTGTTTTTCCTTTGAATACAATATCCTCACCAGTGACTACTGTCCAATGATTATTTATTCCCTTTAGGATTTCACATTCCTGTCAAGCTCAGCAGGTTCCAAAATGCTCCTCAGAAGCCCTGGCTGGTTACCAGGTAAAACTGCCTTCATGGCTGGGCTGTGTCCTGCTTTTCACTCCTTTCCTTCTCACTAACCATCATTTGTCTGCAGAAAGGGAGAAACAATGGACATGATTCAGGAAATTTACTCTGTATGAACAAAGAACATGTTCAGGTGTTCAGGAGTGGCTGCCTGTGGCTGGGCAGGCCTTGGTACAGGTTACAAAGGGCAAGCTTGACCCTCACCTGGGTAGCTCCTTCCCACCCTGCTATCCCAGTGCTCTAACACCAAATCCAACCCCTTGCTACAGTCACCCAACTGACCGAAGGACATTTTATGAGATCCTGAAAGGATGGGGTATTAAATAGCTTAAGAGGAAACAACCTTATCTGAGCCACTTCAGCTGTGCTTTGTGTCACTGAAGGTAACAAACAGTGGGTAAATTTCTGTTTAAAAATAAATCTGTTCCAGTGGACAATCAGACTCTGATTTACAACTTGGGAGATCTCTAATTAAGTCTCAAGGTAAAAATCAATGTATAGGGCGGCAGCAGCAACAGGTTAATGGGTGTGTAATATTTCAAGCTGCAAATCCCTGGTTGGTTTGCACAGCTCCTAAGAAACAAGCTGACAGATGTGGAGCTCTGTGTGCCACAAGAAGGTGGTGCTTTAACAAAGCTGACTCCATACCTGAAGGAAAAAAATCCACCCCCCACAAGTTTCTATTATTGTAAATTCTTTAAATAGGTTTAGCTTTGTACAAAGCCAGCCTTTCAGCAGGGGTTTCTGCCTGAATGGGTGATCTCTGGCTGCTTCCTGCTCCATATGTTTGCACTGAGAGGGAGAGGCATTGGAGTGGATTCCTGAGCATGGAGCCCTGGAGAGGGACCTGCCACAGCCCTTGGCTGCATCAGGCTCAGGTAGTCTGAACATCTGAAAGGGACAGACCCCAGGGTGTACCTGTCACAAGGGACACACACACAGAGTGATTTTTTGTGCTCTGCAGTAACCTACTGCCCAAGAAAACAAACAGGGTGAAACAGGAGAGGAATGAAGAAATTCTCCTCCAGGGCTTCTTTCTTTCCATCTCAGTGCTGTTACCCCAGGTGAGAGAAGTCACAGCCTCCATTTCACAACCCCTCAGATTTTTAAGGAGAACTGCAAGACTCAGAGCTACTCACAGGACTTCTTTTTCCTTAAGCAGGACTTCAGGCAGGCCCTGCTCTCTCTGAGGTTTCTGTCCCAGCCCTGCACTGCCACCGTGGCAGCTCTGCAAACCAGGCTGGATCAGGACAGGTGCAGCCAGGAGCAGGATCTGACAGCAGCAAACTGTCAGCACCAGGACTCACTCTCATCCTCTACCAACACCAAACCAGGGCTGTCTCACCTCACACATACCAGGAGGCCACAGTTTGCAACTCCAGGGCACAGAGAAGGGGGGAACAGGCAGGAGGTGGCAGGGCACACATGAGTGCAGGTAAATGAGCTGGACCTGATGAGATGCCAAAGACAGAGCAGTCTTTTCAAGCAGGTCCCAGGCAGCCAAAGATCACTGACATTACACATAACTTCCTCCACAGCTTCCCAGTCTATTGCTTCTGCTGTGTTCATCCAGAGTCCTGCAATTTCATACCAAATCCCAGTTTTTCCGGGCAAACACCCAAGGAAAATACACCTTTCATTGCAGAAACAGGATACACTATGGAAAGGACCTGCCAAGCTCCCAGGAAGTGCTTTACAATCAGCTCAGTGTCAAACAGATCTTCCTTAAAGTCCCAAAGTGATTGAAGCCCCTTTCCAAATCAGAAGTCCAACAGGATTAACACTGGAGCCCTAAATCGATGCCCATTACAGCATCAACTCTTCCCTTCTAAACAGTGCCTCATGTTTCCCAAACCAGTTCAGAAAACCCAAGAAATAAAATTCCACTGGTTCTGCCCGAAAGGACCAGAGCCTCCAAAATCCCCTCTTCCAGTCTCCTTTAGAGCAGTTATTTGTCCCACAGAGAGGGTGCTGCTGCAGTGGCCAGCACAGGACTCACTCCTGCTCGGAACCCTCCTGACTCCTCTCAGAAACACTGGAGTGATTCGTACCCAAAGTCTTTCCACCAACACTTCTGATAGCAAAAGCAGGTCAGGAGGTCCCTCTCTTCTCCTGAACAAGCAAGAAAGACTTGGTAATATTTACTAAGAATTAAAATCAAAGTTCCTGAGAGAAAGCCAAGGGAAAATTATTAAAACCAGCAAGCTGGAAAAGCAAAAACCTCTTGCTTACATTATCACATATGGCTCAGTGCTGTGTGACTCAAAGGAATGCTACAGGAAAAGCACAGAAGGAATGGAAAAGGCACCCAGGAGCTCCCGGTGCTCTACTTACAGCAGTGCTGCTGGCAGACCGAGCTCCACTGGCTCCCAGCTTGTGGTCCCAAGCCCAATCCCTTTTTTTTTTAGCAGTGCTGTCAATGGAGTGGGAGGGAAGCAGCAGCCTGCAGACACTGCAGCTCTGTTCACTGGCTCTAGCTGTGGGCTCCACTGAACTCCTCATCAGGAGACCTAAGCACTGCTTTTAGTTTATTCAATTTCCTGGCAAACTTTTCTACTTTAACTGCTTCCTTTCCAAATGGGTGGACTTGTGATTCTTCCAGGATGCCAGGCAGAGCTCCAGAGCTGCTTAAAGGCACAGCTGAGGGACAGACCAATTCCACCTGTTCATGGTGTGGCAGCACCCAGCAAAGGTGGCCGGGGCCCCTGGGCCAAGCTGCAAAGACACACTTTAAAGACACAGGGAACAAACACCACATTCTTCAGAAATGCAGCAGAACACGTGTTACAGATACACACTGCTGTTTCCCAGTGTGGAAATTCCCCTTGGATCTCTCCCAAGCAGCTTCAGCAACCCCAGACTGGCAATGAGACACAGGGAGGGACTGTGCTGTGCCCAGCACATTTAATTGCACACCTCTGTTTTTCCCTTGCACAATTCCTGAAGAAGGAACTCTTAGAGCTATATTAAGAACTCAAGGAATGTTTGTGAGCTCACAGCAGAACTGTGGCTTGCCCTGGTACTGCCTCACCACCTTAGAGTCTCATCCTAAAGCTTTTCCAGAAGTTTAACGCTTCACAAAAGCTCAAAACACCAGAAGGGGTTTGGATAAAGGGAAAGAGAAGGGCACAGCTCAGGAGCTCCAATACACACTGAGGTTGAGGTTGTACAAATTTGGATATCCTGGGGCTTGTCCCTGATCATGGAAGCTTGCTGGATTCAAACTGGATCAGCAGAGCCAAGCAGGAACACACAGTGTGACACAGGGCCCATTCTCCCTGTCTACCTGTGAGCAGGCTGAGCAATTCCCACCCACAGGTTTCAGAACTTCTGAAGGATGGCAGGCACTCTGGAGAATGTCCAGCTGGAGATGCCAGAGGCTGCAGTGCAGGACAGAGAATAATGGGCAAAAAAAGAGCTGAGCAGGGCTGCAGACAACATATTGTGTTCAGGTTCAGAAGGGGACAATGCCTGGGCAGCCTCTATGGAAGGAATGCCAGGATGGAAGCAGTCAGCAGGGACTGGCAGCCAAGCTGGGAGCACCCAGAGCCCAGCTCTCCCAGCACAGGCAAACAACAGGCTTTTACAACGATGTGCAGGGCTTTCATGTTTTCTGAGGGGAGAAATCCACTCAGATCTGATCCTCTGCCATCACCTCCACCAAGGATCCCAGCTGGAACCATTACAGCACAATTGTGGATGCTGGAGATAATGACAAAGTTTTGGCACATCTAACCCACTCTGCTGTCCATGAGCCATGCCCACAGCTGATGGGATTTGCCCAGGCTGAGACAGATCCTTATGAAGCTGATCCTGACAAACCCCACAGGCTGGATGTGGGAGGAGAATGAAGCAAAACCACATCACCCACACAGGGAGGATTAGGGGTGATGCTTTAAGCCCCAGTTGAGCTCAGGTTCTCTGCAGCACAGGCAGATCACAGGGCTGGGGCCACCAATGACACCCTGTAGTACATGCTCCTCCAAACACCCATCCTCCAGGCCTCCGGGTGCCATCATTTGCTTGTTTGATTCTTACCAAATCCAAGTCTTTCTTGTACCAATGTTTGTCCCTCTCTTTACTGGGTTGCTGTGTCCCCAGGGCTCAGGCTGCCCCTTCCATATGGAGCTATTACACAGCACCCACAGATATGGCAAAAACCCCAAACAGTGCTCCAGTTCCAGACTATGGATTCCAGTTGGGATGCTGGCTCACATAAGCTTCCTGAAGTTGAACCACATCATTTGGCAGCTTGATGCAGTTATATGCATTAATTAATGTTTAATTAAAACGAAGATTAAAACAAGATGATGAAATATCAGCATATGTTTAATCCTTAAGGTCCTGTCCTCTGCTCTGAATCAAAGCATTCCTCAGCTAAAACAACTAAAAACTAAACTACTACAACTAAAGCAAGGCTGGTCACAGCCACTCAGCACAATCCCCATTACTTGAGGAGGGGCCAGAGCTCTTCCTCTCAGCATGGCTACAATAACGGCCCTTTGATGGAGTTTGTTTTCAGAGCAAACCTGTCTGGCCACCCTCTGTTAGAGGCTTGCCTAGAAAGGGATGGTCATTCCTAATCTCCCAGCTTCTGCAGACACCTCAGGAAATCTGTAATCTTTGAACAAGAAGAAAAAATAACCCAGGACAGATTGTTCTTTACAGGACAATACACTGAACTTCATTAAGTGAAGCACACACCATGTCGTTACCCACAGGCCCAGTGGAGTGAAAGGCAGCTGAAAACAACCCTGCAGAGCACAAAACCTCAGACACTAAGCCTGGTAACATCACAGGAAAGGCTGAGAAATGCTGGCAAGAGCTGTGTAAAGGTGACAAAATAATGGTGAGCAGGCTGAGCCTCCTCTGTGGTCAAGCATTTTCCTCAGCAATACTGAAACTGCAGAAGACAGCAAAGTAGTCAAAGGATCCTGGTGAGAAGCGTGGCAAAACTGAGGAGTCCTTGCCAACCCTTTCCTGGCTGTAGACTCATTTCTGCAGAGAAGTCTGACCCAGCCCAGGTGCAAACACTTGGAACACACAAAGAGCTTTGCGTGGAGATCCAAGAGTGATCCTCCACTGTCTCCATCGAGCTGAGACCAGGCAGTTACACCAGATGATTCTTGAAGGCAACTTCCAACTAAATATTCCTATCCTATTCCTCTTCTATCCTACTCTACCCTACAACACCCCTCTGCTTGTGCTGGCCACCTCTCAACCCTTGCCTTGGTAGCACAGGCAAGATCCCTTCCACAATGGCAATGACACACAATGACCACAGGAACCTCTAGCAAGAGGTGACAGAACCAACGCTGTCACACCTCAGTTTGTCCCTCACAAACTCAGCAATGCTCCCCTGATCTACAAAGGAATCCCACACACATCCCAGTGAACATTACGTTTTCCTTTGAAAAAAGCACTGCAATCTCAAACTGATCCATGCCTCCAACTGTTGGGCCAAATTTTGGGGTCCCCATATGCAGGCGCTCCCCAGGGCACCCAGTCTTGGCAGAACATGGGACAGCACCTTCTCTTCAGCACAGCAGCACAGCTCCTTGCACTCTGCTGTGGTGCAATGGAAGGTGCACACCAGGCTTTGTGACTGGGGATCGTTCCCTTGCCATTGGAAATGCAACACACTCCTTGCAACACACTCAATGCATAACAGTAGGAAGGGCATGACACCAGGAGTTCCACTGGGATTGGGTCTGGCAGCTGTTATGAATGCCATGGGGTGCAGGCTTGCAAAACAGTCTGTTTGGCAGATGTTGCTCAGAGCACATCTGTCACAGAAGCCTGGCTCAAGAGAGGGAGTTTTGGGTGACAGACAGGTGCTGGAGGCTGTCACAAGGCTGAGGACACTTATCCACACAAAGGACTCTTATCCATATAAAAGACAACATTCTTCTGACTCCTACACTCAGGGATGCCTTGTCCTGTTCAAGCCCACCAAGAGCACAATTTCTTCCATTCTGTGCATGGACAGTGGTTTTCCACCCCATTTTCATTTCTTCCACCACCAGCCTTTTGGATCCCTTATTTGCCCCACACTGTTCCTTGTTCCCCTTTCTGTCTGGGTGGATGAGGCAGCTGTCCCCCCTTCTGGCATGCAAGAGCAGAGACATTTCTGGAAAGTGGCAGAATTGAGGCACCTCAGGACGTGCAAGGGCTGAGGAGTGACTGCCATTCCCACAGCTGCCAAAGCAGAGGAGATGCTGTACCACAGCTGACTCTGATTCTGTCATCTGCAGAGAACAGCACCAGAGATACCAAAATGGCACAGGATGCCACATTACAATTTCTTTATGAAACACCCAGAATAAAAGGCATGGCAACACCAAAATTCCTTATAGTCAAGGCCAGCATGAATTCAGAGCTAAAACTGAAAAGTTTCCATCAAAGGCAATCCCCAGGAGGCATCTACAGAAGCACTTCAGCACTTCCTGTGCACATCAGAGCCTTCTGAAGCTATTAGCCCAGATCTGCAGACCAGCAGGCCACACCATCAGAACTTCACCTCTCTTCCTACATCATCAAGGGCATGACACAGGAACACAGTAACACAAATCCAGGTCACAAAGTCCTCAGGAGAAATCTGGCAGGAAGGGGGGAAGTTTAGGCAGAGATAAGGCAGAATGGCTCAAAGGCCAGTGGAGTGAGAGCTGTGTTGAGATGGAGGAGCAGGAGGGTGGGTGGTGCTCAGTCAGGAGTCACCAGGAACCTCCTGCTAAAAACTCACAGCACTCACTCGTCAGCTGAGGACAACCAAGGATCCTGAGCAGTGAGGAGACACGGGGCAGCACCAGGAAGTGGAGACACAAAAGCAGGGCCATGTGACCCATATTTTCCAAGATTACATAATTCCTGAATAAACAGATACTCCTTTATCCTCAGTGGTGGTTTCTCCTCAGATGTTACACAACCAAACACAAGAATGCTGACCAGGGAGATGTGATCCATATGGCCAGAGAGCAGGTACCATCCTGCTGAGAACAAATGGGACAGAGTCCTGAGCCTTGTGATACTCTTCAATAACTTTTTAATATAAAAATATATTAATATTTGGAACCTCATCTTGCAAGAAGTGTATTCTGTAAGATTAGACAACTTCTGCTTCCTTAGAAAAACCAGGCCTAGTGGAGAACTTCACTTCCTATTTCATATGCCCTAATCAAGAGCAGTTTCTAGCTTGTATTCCTCTATCTGTAACAGGCACTTTTAAAATGGAGTTTTCTCTCCAGATGAAAAAAAAAACAAAAATAAACCACCACCACCAACAAAACCCACTATTGCAAAGAAGGTTCTTTATATGCTCACTAACTCAGCATCCAGATTCCTGCATATTTAACACCTCCTGCACCACTTGTACCTATGGAAAGGAGCCTGTCTCCCACAAAAATGTGTCTGTCCACAGGTAAGGACACAGATTGTTGTTTGTGGCTGTTCAGTGGCCACATGCAGAAGCACTCCTTGGCAGGATGCAAGACAGGGAACTACTTGCAAGTTAATCCTGACAAACCATTGCTCCATGGTTGGTTGGAATGGGAAGGACACACCAGGCTACACAGCATAAACAGCTCTGACCAGATTGATTTTATGGTGTCTTCAAGCTTAAACCCTGTAAAACAATCTCAGGAGACACACACACACAAAAAACAAAAAAAACCAAACCAAAACAAAAAAAACCCAACCAAACAAAAAAAAAACCCACACCAAAAAAACCCAAAAAAACACAACAAAAAACAAAGTCAAAAAGTGCATTCCCAAGAAAGAAAGCACACAAGCTTCCTCAGAAGTGATTCAGTGTGTCCTAGAGGTGCATTAGGGGCCTATAATACAGGTGAAGGATCACACACAGAAATTAGACACAGAAATCACACACAGAATCACTGGGTTGGAAGAGACCTTCAAGATCATTGAGTCCAACCCAGCCCCAGCACCTCAACTAAACCCTGGCACCCAGTGCCACGTCCAGGCTTCTCTTAAACATCATCCAGGGATGGCCACCACCACCCCAGGCAGGCCATTTCAC